TGATGCTCAGCTTTAATCTGACAACTGAGCAGATGTCCTGTTTGTGCTCAGAAAAACCGTGGCTGGAATGTGAATGCTGCCCTAATGACAGCTGTAATCTTATCGATGAAACAGAAATGCATGTGCCCAAGTATTCAGTTACAATTGGGAAACATTTCTATTAAAATAGGAAAGCACCAGCCTGATACAGAAAGGCAGGTGATCAAACTTTATACGGTTAATCAGAGAAAACTTCCACGTCTTATATTCCCCTAAATCAGAAAGGAAGAAAACATAGTAAATGGTAAAGAATTTTTGTTTCAGTGCAGGAACAATTTATTTGAACTTAGACTAACACCCCATTGCCCCTCCTTTAGGAAGTGTCTGTCTTTCAGAATTACTGGCCATTGACCTGGCCATGATTTTTCTTACCAGAGCACACGAAGGGAATCTAAAAACCCCTGACCTATAAGGAATTAACCTTACAGAGCTGAAGTACCAGGGCAAATGTTATTATACCATGGTAGGCTGGTTGAAAAATAAATGAAAAAATGTTGAATAATTTCTAGAACGCAGAATTACAGAGAAGTGTTTTTGAGAGAATCATTTATCTCTGGAGATTTGCATCATCTCTTTATATTTGAGACACAGCAAGGTCTTGATTGGTCAAGATGAATAGGACTAATGATCCCTCAGAAATTCAAAGGCTCAGTATTAATTATTCCCAACAGCTGGCTGTATTTATATTACTGCTGGGGATAAGTAGCTGAGTGAGGAAATTATGGATTTAGAAGTACCCCTAAACAAACAGTTTACCCTCCCATCTCAGAATAGTAGCTGTAGAAGGAAGCAGAACAGAACAATCTGCCCCAGAACTTTCATACAGAAAGCCAGGACTGACACCATTACAATAGAGTCTTTTTTTTTTTGGTACTGGGGATTGAACTCGGGTCCTTGTGCTTGCGAGGCAAGCGGTGGAACCACTGAGCTAAATCCCCAGCCCTACAGTAGAGTCATTGATACTCATGGTGTATTTTTTCTTTCAATTGATTAGCTACTAACATTTCAAAACCAAGAAAAGCCTAGGATGAGCTGCAAGGCCATGCCAGACTTGCTGATCTTCTTGTGTAGAATGACATCCATCCCAGGCCTTCAGATGGTCCTATTGTTAGAACTTTCTGCAGTGATGGAAATGTCACTCTGTTGAACACTGCAAGAGCCACTAGCCACACGTGGCTGTTTTAACATTTCAGATGTGGCTAGTGTAACTGAGAAACTGAATTCTAAATTTTATCCACTTGTAATTACATTTCTATAGAGATTGATGATTAAAAACTATGTATAGCACTTAACACTGCAGTTCTAAAGCAATCAGGAAGACTCCAGAAGTCTAAGGTCGTAGTAATATGTCTGGGTTTCTTCTGGCCACTGGGACCACAAAGGAAGTGATATGTAGGTTCTGTTTGTTTTGTTTTAATGAAAAGCAGCCCCTACTTGCCTAAACTTTTAGTGCAACTACTTTTAAAATGCACCGGAATCATTTACACCAGAATTAAAACAGTATCCAAATACTTTATTGATTTAATGACTTTAGGATTCATGGGGAAATAGCACCTAATTAGGTTTTGCTTTGCACATTTCTCACCTTATCCTTATTCTTATGGATTACTTTCCTTTTAAAACTATATCCATATGTTTAAGGCATATATGTGAGCAAATCTTATAAGATAGTAAAATTCAACATAAAGCCTTAATTTTCATAGCTTAGTAGCTCTAGTCACTGTAGAGTAGACCAACTAAAACATAGAACAATATTTAACTTAATTTTTATATTAATGAAAATATCAAAATAATCCAGATTCAAAAGAGAGGCTTTTTAACATAAAATAATTATAAAATTAATATTTTTACAGTTAAACTTTGACAGTTAAATGATACCAAAATTCAAATCTCATTTAAATATTTTCTGGTCTAAATAAAAAGTGAAAGGATAGAAGGAAGCCTATCTCTATTATCCTACATTTTTCTTAACAAAAAGCATACAAGGAAATTTTGCCAGATATTCAGACTGAAGCCCAAGAATGCAGGTACCTAAAAATGGTTTTCTGTCACATTTTAAAGAAGTAACATAGGCTGTGGTAGAAGAAGGAAAATATTAAAAAGATGAAGCTCAGCGTCATTCTGTACCAGACCTCGTGACCAGCAGAGGTGGTTGTTATTCCGGAGGTGATTATGTGTCCTCTCCAAACCTGAATCCTATTTGGGGTGAGTTCACACAGGGACACAACTCCAGTCCTCCCTCACAGACCTGGCCCCTGGCAGAGGTGTCGCCTTTTTAGTAGATGGTGTCCTTGTCCATCTGGCTGTTGAAGCTGGATGCTTGGAACCATCAGGAGGTCTCTCTTTCAGTCCTTCTCCACTAGGGGCTGTAGATCTTACCTTCTGGACAAGTGCCTTTCAAGTTGACTCTACATCTCCACTGCACCCACCTGCCCTGTGTCTCACTCCTGCTCCTGAGGCCTGCTCCCATTGTGCTTCCTGAACACCACCCCCATTCCAAACCTTCTAATGCAGCTTCAGTGAACTTCCAAAAAATGAATATTACTCCCCTCCCATGCCTAAAATGTTGCATTTTAAGTGAAACCCAAAATCTTTGAATAAACCAGTATTCCTTAGAGTTAGCAATTACAGGCAAATCATAGAGGAAGTGACTGACATTTCTCAAAGTGGTTGCCTCTAAGAAGCAGGAATGGGGCGAGAGTGGGGTGAGGAAAGAGACTGGTGTTTTACCTGTTAAGTCGTGCAGTACTATGACTTTTCCCACGGAGAACAGACTTTGACAAAAATGACATTTCAAAAAGCTTTTTAAAATATTGCTGGGACCAGGCCTGTGAGTATATGTGTGAGGAATGAATGTGTTTTCCCTTAAGAAGACTCAAGAGTCCTTCTAGCTGTGTCTTTATTTCTTCTCTGGCCAGCTATCTTTAAGTCTTTGATATTTATATGAAGGTGATCATAAGGATCAGATTTAAAACATTTGGTGATAGGCAGTTAATTTCCACATTTTTTATTCAAATACGTAGGATGAAAATTATTGATAAGGCATGACATGCCTTTGACTTATTCTTTTTGTCTTATTTTCCTGACCCACGCTGGTTTATAAGTACATGAAGGAACTGCTTCTATTTGGCAGCAACATTCATCACTTAGTCTTTTGTCCATGGGTGCTTTGACAGGGAAGACAGATGCTGTAAACTGCAACCTGCAGAAGACTCCAATCAAAATACAGCACTGAGGCCCAAAACAGAAGGAGAGAGGGGAACCTGCAAATCTAGAATTGCAGAATCTGGACAGAATAACGAATAGGAATATATTAAGTATTGAAATAGAAAAAGAATGAAATATTGTAAGACATGAGAAATAACCTGTTTTTTATAATACATGAAATCTTATAATTGTAAACCTTAATAGGTTTTATTTGTTAAATATTTGAGCCAAGGGGAATTGTTGATCATGAGAGACCCAAGTCTGAAAAGGAAAACAATCACTGGACTTGTATTTAATCACTTTTTATTTTCTTGGATCTCGGTCATGTCATTATCTGGCCCTGGTGCTTACATAACTTAATTAGGGGAGTTCAGGCAGCAGTGGGAATAGGAGAACAAAATGAAAGGGTAACAGTTTAAATGGATTGCCAGCAGTTGCGTGAGATGGGTGGAGATGAAGCCTATTAAGGACCTAATTCTGGAAGAAGCTGTTGACACTGATCATTTGTGAAAAGGAGATTTTTTTTCTTACCCGCATACGCGGTTCTGTACACTTGTCTGCAAACCTTAAGAGTTGGTACATCTGATCATCAGCTTGTGGAATTACTAACACCAAGCCACTTTGAAAGAGCAGACAAGGTTATTAACTTTGGCAGGAAATGAAAATTTGGCCTTAATATACATGTGAAATTGAATTGTCTGTAGCACAAAGCTTTTGAGATTACCCATGCAAAATGAGAAAACTATCTAAATTTAAAATTGCCCTCAGTACAGTGAAAAGTAATTTTGCAGACTGCATTTTTACTGCATTGAAATCCGTGAAGAGATTGGCTCTATTAATTTAGATTTAAACAGAGGCTCTCTGTCTTCTAAAAATGGTAAATGAGATGGAAAATGTATTTTAAGGGAGAGAAAAAGACTTTCTGAAAATTCTGCAGGCAGGCTAACTCCCTACTCCACATCTTTGAGTCTGACTTCCGAGGGAAGGCACTATCTACTGTGACAGGCGTTCAGAACAAGGACACACAGACAGCACCTCAGTTACATGGAGCAGGCTTCAAGAGGGAAATAAGCCAGTGGAGTGCGACGCAGCGCAAAAGTCATTGACAGCTTTTATGTTATAGTTAGCGAAGTAGCGGGGTCCTTGAAAGAGGAAAAGAAGAGGAATTGAATGTATTTTCTCAAATGTCAAATAACTTTCTTATAATCCTGCCTAGAAGAATACAAGGATAGCAGATTTGGTTATGTAAATGACCTTCTCACACAAATAATTATCTTTTGTATAAAGGGAAATTGAGTTTTTCATTGCTTGGTCTGAATTTATTTAGCTCACAAGGACAAAACATTTGTTTATTATTTAATAAACTATTAATCATTAAATAGAGGACTGTTTGGGACCATAGTTTCATAACCTATCATTTTGCCATTGAGAATAATAGATTCAACACAATAGCCTGAATGCAAAAAGGGTAACTAATCAACTTGTTTTCTTTATTGCCCAAAGTCTTAGTGTCCTTATTATTGAACAGAGTTGTAATTGTGAGGGAACTGAGAACAAGTAAGTAATTTACCTATTCTTGGTTCTTAGAGCTGCTGGGCAATAGAATTGAGCCTAGAACTAAAGTCATATGAACTCCCAGATAATTTATTTATTTGCTACACCTTATTAAAAAAAAAAAATCTACACTGCCGAGTGGGCAGCACAGCAAAATGGCAAAATCAACCACCTTTCCTCGTTTTTCTTTTGCTGTCCAGGTATTGCCGTGCTGTACTTACATCTCCATGATGTGTTCGGGGACCCTGCCTATCTGCAGATGGCACACGGCTATGTGAAGCAAAGCCTGAACTGCCTGAGCAAGCGCTCCATCACCTTCCTGTGTGGGGACGCAGGCCCCCTGGCAGTGGCCGCCGTGCTGTATCACAGGATGAACCACGAGAAGCAGGCAGAGGATTGCATCACACGGTAATCATGCTTCTTTGTGAGGGTTATCACCTAGGCATCGTTAGACATTTTGCATATGTAACAAAAAAACACATTTTAGTGAGTTTATTTTTCTTTCAGCAAATAAATTTCAGCATCGAATAAATTCTCATGTTATTCCTGTGTTGTTGTTAAGGAAAAACCATTGTAATCCCTATTTTATTGCAAGATATAAAATGCTGTTGTGTTCAGGAGTGTGGGATCAAAAGCCTAACCATGTGAGTATTAATCCAAGGTGCACTACCCATGCTCAGCAATTCAAAGAAGTGTAGTTCCTGTCATGCAGGTAGGCTCAGAAAGGCCTCCTACAGAACCATAAACTGATTAAAGACTATCTTTCTTAGAGGCAGTGGCACACAGACCTAGACTCTCATTTTTATGTAAATCATGACTGTCCACTACAACATGACAGTCCACTAAATTATGAGGACTCCCTAAATTTTTTGTGTTATTTTTATTGCCTTACCGGAGCTTATTGAGTGCTCTTGAATTCTGCTAAGAAACCTGCTTGTCTGGAAAGTATGTGCGTAGGGCTCTTAGGCTTCTAGTTAGTGTACTGATATCCACAGTGGGGAGCTGCAACTGCAGCAGTTCATCAGTCAGTGATCAGCCCTGAATTGACTGTGGTTTTTTATTTCCACTGTTTTTCCCTACAAATTATTGTTAGAATGGTATTACCGTCACAGGTTTAGTTTGTGGAGGGTCCCCTGGGTAATCTTACGTAGTTGGCCCTCCATATGTACAAGTTCATACCCACAGATCCAGCCAATCATAGATGACAAGAATTAGAGAAAAAATTATTTCTGAACTAAGCACATGTACAGACTTTCTTCCACATTATTATTCCCTGAGCAAAGCAACAAGTCACATAGCATGTATATTATGTCATTGTAAGTAATCTAGAATAATTTATAGTATATGAGAGAATGTGCATAGGTTATATGCTAACAGCATTTTGTATGAGGGACTGGAGCATCTGCAGATTTCAGTGTCTGCTGATGGTCCTGAAACCAGTGCTCCTGGATGCAGAGGAACTGCTATATGTGTGGTACTATATACTTCACCAGCAGAAGGCTTTTTGGATATTTTAAAATAGGATGGTGTTATATTTGAAAAGAAATCATTCACACCTATGCAGATTTCCCCCCTCCCCCACTTTTTTCCTATACAGTAGTTGTATTTCCCTACTGTTGCTGATTTTTTCCACTGGAAATTGTAACAAAAGGGTTGGCCCTACCTATAATGGTTTGTTGGTCATATTAAATCATCCCCTGAATTCACTTTTTTTTTTTTAAGTAGGAAAATATCTATTTATAGGAAAGTTCCTGAGGGGCAGGAAGGGTCCTGAGTGAGTAGCTGAGGACCTCACTTTACCGAGAAGTTTTATAGGGTGAAACCCACCTGGGTACAATGTGGGCCACAGCCATGAACATCCGATAAGGTTTCAAGTATAGTCACCCAGTTAACGGTGGTCCAAATGGGAAGCAAGTCACTAGCGAACGTACAAGGATTTTCAGAGCTACTTCATGCTGAAGGGAGTCGTAGTTGTGGTTGGCAGTCAGGGATACCCTTCAGAAGGTCTATCTAAAGGTCCTCGATAGGCATCACGCATTTCCCTCATGGGTCGGCATATAGCTTTAAGTCTGGAGGAGACAAGGCCAGAAAGACAGTTAAGTATACATAGGCCAAACGATAAAAGCAAAAAGAATATTATGAGTATAGCCAACAGATGTTTCCACCAGGAAGATCTAGTAATAGCCTTCCACAGGGAGGATAAGGAGAAGTCCCAGGGAATCTTAGAATCTGACATGGCCTTAACCTGTTGTTTAATATCTTGAACAGCCATCAAGATATTAGCAGAAGTATCAGGAATGTATACACAACATTCAGCTTTTACAATTGCATGGGTACTTCCTTGTGCCGCTGTGAAGCTATCTAAGATATTCTAAGATATATAAGATTCTAAGATACTCTGGAGGATAGCTTGTCTCATTTACCTCTTCATTTAAAAGAGAGAGACCAGCTGCAGTGTCGTTTAAGGCCCATTGAGTGTAATTAGTGAAGGCCTCAATGTGTTGCATAACATCCTCTAATCCTAAGGAAGGGATAAAGATGGAGACTAAATGATCATACCAGTGAAACACACTTCTAGACCATCAGTGTTGTAGGCAGGGTAAGTTTGCAGGTTTGTCGATATTTTTGACACTCCTGCCTTGTAACCATGCAAATCCCAGCGTCCACATATTTTTATACATCAATATGCTGTGTCTGTCAGAGGCTACAAATCATGTAGTACAATTTAAAATTTAAAAAACCACATTATTTAATGTCGATAGGAGAAAAAACTATCAAGATTCTACTTCAGGGCTGGGAAGTATTTAGTAGAAAATCTGTCACCAAGCTTGATCCAAGGACAAGTAACACAAAACTGATTTCCTCAAAATTTTAAAGTATGTTTCTCCCACAGCAGTTGACTTACATAAGACCAGCCAATGTAGAAACTGTTCTGTATTCAAATCTGAAACACAGAAACTATCACTTTATTTTTTTGCACGGCCAGTTTAAGCCTATTAGCCACCTGAGGTCCAAAAGATAGTCTCATTCAGTGAATCACTCTTTTTTTTTCTTTTTGGACTGGGGATCAAACTCAGGACCTTGCGCTTGCTAGGCAGGCGTGGCACCACCGAGCTGTATCCCCTTCCCTAGTGAATCACTCTTAAATATTATCAAATTAAATTATAGTGATCCCAACGTCTTATATCAATGCTACTCTCTCCCAAAATATGCATAAGCAAATAATGATAGTTTGCTGTGGAAGGCCTGTGAACAGATGTTCAATCAAAACAAGGTATTCAAACAGATTGGAGTTAGTATTCAAGCTCTAGCTGCTCAGAGTCCTCAGTAGCTTGTATGTGCAGAACACTACAGTTCTAGGGAGCAGCATCTGCCAAGCTCACTCAGGCACACAGCCGTCCTCTCACCCTGAGGGCTCTGTGAAGAAACATTCTTTGGGAAATGGTACCATATATTAATATGGGTTTATTAAAATTAAAACACTCTACAGTGTAAGCTGAGATTCCATTTCTTTTTTGGATACTTTGGTCATAAAGATGTTTTTCTTATTTTGTATCTTTTTAAAGTTTGTATGACGTTTCAACAATATTTTACTCATAGCCAGTAAGCTTGTTAAGATTAAAAATATAGAATGTGGATATATGATAGAAAGATATGCCATGTATGGTCACAACATTGACTTTTCAGATTTTTGGAATTCATGGCCGAACAGAGGGAAAAAAACAATTATTTATAATATAATTACAGCACTTGCTTCATTCTTAATATCTCTTTTTTAATGGAAAAATATATAATTCTTTTCAATTCAATTCCAAGAAATACAAAATTATTTTATATCATCAGGTACTTACTAAACCTGTTGTTTTTCCTTTTGACCAAAGCTTCTCCCTCATATCATACCCTTTTGGGATTCATATACTCGGATTTTTTGCATATGGGCTCTGTTGTGCTCCACTGCCAGAGACACCTTCCAGCTTACCTTTCCTATACTTGCTTAATATAATTGCCTTTCAGAACCATAATTTTGAGTTTTAAAGTCTAAAAAGGCCTTTGAAATTATTGAAAGCCTAAAACTTAGACAAAGGAACTGAAATCCAAAGAAACCAGTGTTTCCCTTGAATAGAGATTCTTAACCCTTGCCCCCTGGGAACCTATAAGCTTCCAGAGGTAGATAAAACCCCCAGATTATTTTCAGCGTAGAGAGAGGATATATACTTTTCTTAGGGGAGGTCTCTGGCTCCCCAAGAGGAGTATGTATCTCTGTTGCTGTTCAGATTATCCTGCAGGTGGCCAGGGAGGGCTGGTTGATGACAGTACACAGAGCTAGTTCCTTCCTCTGCCTGACATATATCATGTCTGTCTTTGCCCTTCCCGCTGCACAGAGATACTGGTGCCACAAAACAAACAGAGAGCTTTGCCTATTTTGTACCCAATTAGGTAACCAGCCTGACATATATAGTGCTTTGGGGCCAGTACTTAGAATGATGAAGAACTTTGGCTTTCTGGACAGGAAATGTACAACGTCTCTCCTTTGTAGTGTGATGGATCAGAAAAGGACTTCTTACCAATCTTTTGGTATAATACAAGGCAGAAAAAACTCTCCCCCAGAACACCCTGGGGAAATATTGCTAGGAGTGGAACAGAACTGTACTAATTTTATTTATTTATTTATATGTTTATTTTGGTACCAGGGATCGAACTCGGGACCTTGCGCTTGCAAGGCAGGCAGCGGAACCACTGCGCTAAATCCCCAGCCCTGTACTAATTTTAAATGTCTTTATTCTTTCTTCAGGGACATATCAGTGACTTGCCTATCTCTTCTAAAGATTGGTTGCTATTAATATCAACATATCAAAACAAATAAATGGAGCTACAGTGATGTGGTTATAGGTTTAAGAGTTTCTTCAAACCTATAACCATCGTGATTTATGAGTGCTGTCACATACTTATTTTATCTTGAAACTGTAACATGTAATTGAAGCATTAAAAAGTCCTACCATTAGTAATCATTAGACCCAACCAAGTTTTGGTAATTTGAATTCAATCCAGAAAAAAAAATATTTCCCTTATTACCCTCTTTTATTGTTGTAATAAGATGCTGGCTCTGAGCAATACTTTATTTTTAGTATTTGAAACGTGTTTGCTACCTACTGTGAACAGCACAAATGCCAATGTGTTTGGTTGCAAAATAAGTAATTGGGACGCAAAATTTATATCGCCACCTAGTGGTAGAATGATAACATTGCCAAATAAGGAAATGGTGTTTTCTAAAAAAAAGGGGTTCAAGCATTTTATTTTGCTAGAATATCATTGAAGTAGTACAGTATTTGTTCTGAGTAATACTTCTTTAAAGTAGTCTTTCCCTAAAAACTGAACAGAAATTTTACTTTTTGAATAGTTTTTTCAGTTTCCTTTGCAAAAGTAAAGCAGAAGTGTTTTTATATTGTGCTATACAATTTGATACATTTATGCTAAAACTTGATAATAAGTTCTTTTCTGAACTTGAGACATTAATTTTACTACAACAGTTGAGTTTTTAACTAGTAAACAGATTTGTTTTCTTGTGGTCTCTGTTATCTGAATAGCCAATTTTGGCATGAGGAAAAAATGATAATTTTTCTTAATAAAAGATTTTCAGTTCTTTAAAAACTTGAGGGCTACTTGAGGATGTAGCTTAGTGTTAGATGCTTGGCTAGGTCCTGGGTTTGATGCGCATCACCACACATACACATGTACACACACACACACACACATCAGGGTGCATGTGTGTGTACACACATATATATGGTACTGACGTACATGGCCCACAATTCTACCACACGGATAGCCCTGTAGATACTGAACAAAGGTCAAATAAGCTATTACATGAAAATAAAAAGAAACCTCTAATCATGGTGACCCTATTCCTAAGATAACCCCTGTTGCATGTGAACTTATTGCCTATATTTATAAAAGAAAAAAAAAATGTATGAACCAGCATTTGCATTCTCTAATTTGAGATGTTTCAATTTGTTAAGGTAACTTTTTCAGTAGCTGCAATTAGCCATGCTGTTTTAAATCCGTCTTTCCTTCTGGGGAGTAGGTTCCCTTAAAGTCTCTTTTGTACCTTCTTAGCCCTTGTTTCATAACTGTCGGCCACTTTCAGTCACTAAAATCAGCTCACTCTGGTTACTGAAACAAGTCCTCTTTATTTCGTTCTGGAAAATCTCTGAAAGAAATGCACGGAGACACAGAATTCAGGTAAAATAACAAAGGCTTTACTTGCAAGCAGGTGAGACCACCAGAAACTGGTCTGGTCAGTGCAGGTTCTTTGTTAGTCTCTTCTCTTTATACCTTTGTTAGTCATTATCTCATCCCTAGTGGTCTTTAATGTGTAAATACAATTCCTTCCTACTTACAAGTCACAGACACAAGATAGGCACATATACATTATAAATTCACCCAGGCATTTGCAACTTTGTTATGTTAAAATGTTATCTATAATGAAGTTACTGGTTAAAGAGTCAGATAGTCAACACCTTAAACAACAAGAGTTATGGGAAAAGCAAATCTTAAAGGAATACATTACTTATTTTGCTTCTACAACTACATTAATATTCAATCTACTAAGCTACTTAAAACTTTTCTCTATCAATGTGATTTACAGAAAACTTCGGTCCACGGTCTACGCATACTTTTGCTTGCAAGGAATGGTAATTGTTATCTTAGTTTGGACATCTGGTCTAAAAGTGGAGGTTGCAGTTAAGCAATGTTGCAGGCATTTCCTTATCTTGAGCTAGTGCTACATGCCTGCAGTCATTTTACATTTCCCTTAACAGTTTGAAACCTTAAATGCTCCTCTCTTTTCCCCATAGCTTATGGAAATGTGTGTGTTGGGGGCAGGGGTGGGATATTTTTCCTTTCACAGGTACAACATTTTCACTGCTAATAGCTAGTTGTCAGATTTTAGTTTGCTTGAGTTTCTTTTGTTCTTGCTTTTAGTAACTGTGGGCATCTCCGCAGATTGTTGTTGGGCTGCACATGTAACCCATCAGTATATCCTGACCTTCTGCCAGATGTACAACCTTAGAAAGAAGACCCACGCACATACATAGTCCCTTCCCCTCTTCTTGTAGCTCAGAGAAACCCACATTGCAGCCCCTTGTAGATCTTATCCACTGAAGGATGAGAAAGCTTGTGCCGTCACCCACAGCTCCAACCTGTGACTACTACTCATCCCATCAGTGAAAGCCATTTTCTAAACATTTTTACTACCCTTATTAACAAATGTTCTAGTGTAGAGTTGATAAAGTTATTTGGTATAGAGTACCTCTGAATACTGTTTCATGATAAGAGTATTTCAAATGTAAGCAAGCACCTCCTATTCATGATTTCTGGTACTTCGGTGCTAATTGACCATCCCTAGTGTGAAGAATAAATTTTGATGGCACACAGGCACAGCACATTGTTTCTAAGTACTTTAAAATTAAATTTCTGCACAGAGAACAAATGACAGAATTTTTAACTCAGAAGAGCTATTCATCTTATAGATGAGAAATCTTAAGAATAGAGATTAGTTTGTTGATTGTCACAGACCACCAGATGAATTTGGTTTTACAGAAATTCTCTGGTTCTTTTTACTAATATCATTGTTTCACCAAAAATTTAAATGTTTTAATAACTTAAATGGGATCACACTGAACTCATAGGCTACTTTAGGGAAAATCAAGATGCACTTTCAAGGCTCAATGTAATAAATAATCTAAAACTGCAAAGACATTTTCTCTGCCTATCAGTTTGCTGTATGACCCCACACTCTCAAAAAAGAAGAGATTCATTCATAGGGTTCAAATGGCCAAATGTGGCTTCTTTCCCAGGTTTATTCCCTCTCTGTCTCCCCTGCTTTCTGATTCCCTAGGGCTTCCCTCTTTGGTCCTCTGGCAAGGAAAGTGGGGCTTTGTTTACCCTGCTCTGCCCTGTACTTCCCATGCTTCTTCCCATGCTTGCATCTGGAACCCAGTGATTTGGAGGACAGAGACAGATAAAGCAGTGGGGTCCCCTCCTTCCTGAATCCTCAGATCTGTGCAGAGGTTCCCTCCCTCAGAGTTTTGACTGCTTTGAGTTCCTGTTATAATATTGCTTATAGCCCAGGGCATAAAAGAACCAAAGAGAGGGAGTTACTCTAGTATTAGGAGTTTCTTTTCCTTTTTGTCATTAAGATAGAACTGAAAGGATCCTTCCTTCCGGGGGTTCTGTTGGCCTGTCCATTGCCCATGTCTAGGTTTTACCTGCATAGTACTGAGTTCAGGCCAGGGGAATACCAGAAGAGAATATATGGTAAACTCACCCCATTTGGTGGTTCTTCAAATTCTGGTCTTCTTCCCCATTCTGCCTGATGCTGTTTACTTTCAGAGTCCTCAAATACATGCTTTATGGCTGTATGGAATTTAGGGCTACATTAAGTGAGAAAGGCAGGGTGAAGTCAGTTTACTCCATCTTTTCTGGAACTAGAACTGAAAACTTTGAGAAGCTGAACCGAGTCTGTCTGTAAGGATCTAATAAATCTAATATATCTATTTAACAGTATACTACACTGCAACTGTTAAAGAGTGAGCATACTCTGCCAATGTGGCATGGTTGTGATGATGTATTATTAAATAGCAAGTTGGAGAACATGTGGAGATAGAATCGGTAAGCAAGTGTGCTTCTGAAGGTAAGACCCAGGAGGCAGAGAGTGGGAAGTAGGAAAGCTGATACCTTTATGCCATTGCATGTGTTCTTGGCTGGGTGGGTTAGGCTGCTGTACGGACACTTCACACAGGGCTGGTAATGCAATGAGAAATAAACCAAGAAGGAACCCAGGGGGATGTAGCCCGAGTTTCTTTTCATGAAAATAGCACTTCAGTGTTGGCTTAGTCCTTTCTCTTGGGTGTGAAATGCTACACCAACCAGCAGTTGTTTGTTTCTCTGACCTCAGGTGCTTAAGTACTAGTCTTAGGGCACACCTCTGTGAGTAACTAGGGAGACTTTGGGTAGCCTTAGCACACACTTATATTTATTCCTTCATCAAATTTTCATCAGTTCCGCCGTGAAGAGAGATTTAATTGAAAACTTATCTTTGAATGTTGAGCTTTTCATATATATCAGTTCCTTTCAAATTATCTTTAGACATATATTTCTATTCCTAGCCTGATTCATTTAAATAAGATCGATCCCCATGCTCCAAATGAAATGCTGTATGGACGAATCGGCTACATCTATGCTCTTCTTTTTGTCAATAAGAACTTTGGGATGGAAAAAATTCCTCAAAGCCATATTCAGCAGGTACCACATTTTTGTGCTTTTTAGTCTTTTTAGAATCCCACTCTCTTATTCTCTGCCTGAACAATTGTCTTTGTTTTTCCAGTTAGCACACCCCAAGTAGAAAGATGATGTATTTTCTGACTCTCCTGGAACCATTATAGGAAGGGACTTGGAGTCAAAGGCCAAATTGCTCCATTTGAGAATTTAGAGGCCCTTTCAGAGAAAGCTTAGGCCCAGAATTTACCTCCCCACAGCAGCTCTCTCCTCCTGTGACTGGGAGTGTTGGTGCTTTCCTTTTTGGTTTTGTTTGTTTGGGTTGGTTTTGTTTGGGCGGGTTGGAGAGGTTCTTTGTTTTTTGAGACAGGGTCTCACTATGGATTTCAGGCTGGCCTTGAGCTCACTGCCTAGCACTAGTGAAAAGAATTCTAGCCTGCCCTCCCTCACAGTGATACAGTCCCATTCACTGGTCTGAAGCAGAAGTAAACTGCTCTTCTGGCCAGAAGATGGTGTCTAATTTGCTCTCAATTCTTTGGTACTTCTTATGTAAAAACTTCTTTGCCTCCACCCAGGGGGTTTTCTAATTATCTTATTATTTTGGTTGACTTTCTCCCTATAGATTTGTGAAACAGTTTTAACCTCTGGAGAAAACCTAGCTAGAAAGAGAAACTTTACGGCAAAGTCTCCACTGATGTATGAATGGTACCAGGAATATTACGTGGGGGCTGCTCATGGCCTGGCAGGAATTTATTACTACCTGATGCAGGTAAGGGGTGGGTGAGGATGGTGAGACTTTAAAGTGTGCTTCCTGATGGCCATACTGTCGGGGGAGGGGGGGGACAGATCCTGTAATGATGTTTTATCCTTCTTTTATCATACTTCTTTTAACTGCTTGACCTGCACAAACAGAGAAGTGTTGGCCAGGATGCATTATAAAGTGTATAAACAGGAAAGGTGCTGCTTTCGTGGTGTTTGATTTGTCTGTTGTGACACTTGCCTACTCAGTGCTACTTGTACAAACTATTTTGACCCATAATCCTATACTATACTATACTTTTACTCTTCTCTTCCAACAAGTCCCTTGAGTTAAGAATATTCTGCCTTATGTGGTACAACCCATTGAAACAAATACCATGAGTAAGAACAAAAACAAATGAGTACATGTTGCCTGAGGCTTACTTAGCAAAGCTGAGGAGACGATTTAGTGAATGTTGCATAATGTACCTAAAAAAATAGCTGAATATGCTATGCTCACTAGTTCTTAGGTTTTAATAACACTGAGAGATGTCAATCAAAGTCACATAGACTGAGAAAAAATAGAATTCACTACCATAAAAAAAATTGATTTATTAATGGCAGCAGAACTGCCTCCCTCACCTTCCCAAAGCACAATGTGACATAAAGTGTTGCATTAATATAGTTAACATGACTGCTTAGATGTACATGTTACATCTAACATGTATATGTTACAGCTGAGTAGCTGGCTATAATACAGAATCCTTGTTAGGCCTTCCCTCTGCCTATAACTAAATAATGCGAGCAGAGCTAAAATACTGAAAGTTATTATTGCTTTGGAATACAAAGTCACACTTGGATTGTTAGTGGCAATCCAAAGACAGTTGTATTTATTCTGTACTTCTCAACTAGAAGTTTATAATTAGGGTTTTTGACAATTGAAGCTTCAGTTCCCTTATTTTTCTGGCACATTCCCTCAGGAGCTCTCTATTTCCCAAAGTACATGTAGATCCTTAAAAGTTTTCAGGAAAGGAGAGCAGTTTGTGTCTTCTGAATTTCAAGGTGAGTTAGAATCACGCGTGTCAGTGACTGGATAGCCGTATTGACCTTTCTTAAAACAGATAATAAGGAGACATCCATCTGCCTCTTTCTGTTAGCTGTAATAAGATATCTGAAAACCCAAGTATTGATTTTTCCATTTGCAGGCTATTATATATTTGAAATAATTTAATTTTTATTCTTGAAAGTCCACTTTAGTATATGCCTTTCTACCAACATAAAATAAATCAGTATTATTTTTCGGCCATTTGCATTACCCTTGCACAGTTCCCTATTCTGCTCTAACACTTTAAATTGAGCTTGAACTCTGTTCTTTACATAAAGTGCAAGCTGTGTCCCCCGAAGAGCTCAGTGCACATTCTGAATCTTGTGAAAACTGTGTGTTCTCTGCCTTCCCAGCACCTCCTCCTGCCTGCGCTTCACACCCCATCCCTGCTCAGCGTCACGTGCCCCACCCACTGCTGACTGCACAGCACTGTAGACTGGTTGTTTAAAGAGTGAGCAGCGCCTTGAACTAAGAACAGGAGCAGAGGGGTAGGGGAAGTGGGAGGGGCAGGGGAAAGGAAAGAAGGGAAAGGGAAAATGATGAGAAATGAAAAAACTGGAAACAAAGTCTTTGTAAATAGGGAAGGGTGGAGGTGGTGAAGGGAGGGCAGGGGAAGGGGAATAAATAAGAACCAAGATACATCATGTAAAGGTACAAGTTCCCAATGAGAATTGTAAATGTATTGTATACCTAAAATGTACCAATAAAAGAATTTAAGGGAAAAAAAATCTGAAAGAAAAGAACAGGAGCAGAGAGAAATTAAGAAGTGATATCAAAAACGACATCTCATATGCCCTGCATCAGTGAGTCCTGTAAATCTGAACATCATTCAGACTAATCCTGTATATAGACTGGTTTTAAATCCTCTGCAGAAAGATTTCATCTACAGTCATGCTGCAGTTTGACATGAGATTCCAGGTGTCCTTTTCTACTGAAAACACCACTTATCACTTCTCCAAATGTAGTAATGAAACTTGTGCTTGGTTACCTACTGCCTCTTTATGCTCTTAAAGCAAGCTTTAGGAATTGAAATTTTAGGAGACTTCTGTGCTCATATTCTCAAGCAATGAATTAAGAATCATTTGTATGTATATAAATAACAAATATTGAAAATTAATGCACACAGAAGGCCCTGAGTTAACTGATGGCCCAATTTAATTTCTTCTATTACTTAAAAATTATAAAATGAAATCACAAAAGATTACTTAACAAAGATGTTGGAGTAGGTGGAAAAAACTGGATAAAATCCAAAGCTTTTTAATGACTTTCCAGTTCATGTTCTTTTGTTGTTGTTGTGTTTTGGTTTTTTTTTGGTACCAGGGGTCGAACTCCAGACCTTGCACTTTCAAGGCAGGCAGGGGAACCACTGAGCTAAATCCCTGGCCCTAGTTGTTGTTGTTGTTGTTTTTTCTGGTTTAAAAATGCGTACTGGATTCTGGAAAGGTCTTTCACTTCAGCAAAACTAGTAATAATTCTTTCTCATTTTTTAGCCCAGCCTTCAAGTGAGCCAAGCAAAATTACATAGTCTGGTCAAGCCCAGTGTAGACTTTGTCTGCCAGCTGAAATTCCCTTCTGGCAATTACCCTCCATGTCTGGATGATAATCGAGATCTGCTTGTCCACTGGTGCCACGGCGCCCCTGGGGTAATCTACATGCTCACCCAGGCCTATAAGGTATAGTGTGTTTTCTTATTTTTTTAAAAAAAAGAACTAGAAAATATAACAAAACTTTTATAATTTAAAATAACTTGTTGGACTTTAGAGCACTTTGCTGCATGGGGTCATAATTCATTCTCACAGTATCCATTGTACTTTGGCAGACATTATTTCATAGAGTAGGTGACTGCTTCATAATATGTAGAGTAACCAAGACAATAGCATCTGTGGCCCAGCTGAGCAACTCAGAACCTCAATTAAAAATAGAACCCTCATTGCTGGTGGGAGAATGAAATGGTGTAGCTGCCATAGAAAACAGTTTATACAAATATCCCTCCTAAAAAGCTTGTCGTAGCAGAAGTGTACCAAGGAACAAAAAGTACTTAACTGAAAAAAAAATAGAAGCTGAGATTTTTATGACCATTGGTGCCAAATCCAAATACAGATCTGTAAACTATAGACACTGGCATCTCATAACTAAGCTTTTACTGTATCAAATTCATTTCAGAAAGTTGACTGTAAAGGAAAAATTCTAAACTGCTTTATACTACTTTAAGGACACTTTCTTTTCAATGAGATACTAAAAATATCTACTCAGAATATTTCTTAAGTCTTTGATCATGACATGAAAAGCAAAGGATTATAAAGGGTTATCTTTTTCTAACGAAGTCTAGTGCTTTATAATCAATTTGCATGTTCACAACTAACAGTTTCTTTTCTGGTGTATAAAGAAACTTCCTAATGGCAAAGGGTATCATAGTTACAAAAGAAGTTAGCATGTGCTCTTTGGAGAGTGACTAATGATAATAGCTAGTTGCAGATTAAATAATGTTGCTTCATCAGTAACATCCACATACACAAACAGTTGCAGGACTCTGTACACAAGGACATACCCAGTTATTTAAAAAACAGCAAAGCTAATCAGCTTTAATAATTTATCACTGTCAGTATAACACATCTCTCTCTCTCTCTCTTGCTAAAACCTTTACCTTTTCTTGCTAATCCCCCTCTTTCTCTTCCCTTCCCCCATCTCTTCTTCTTTCCTAGCAGGAAGGAATGTTGACAGGACTTCCTTTTATATCCTCTGTAATGAATCTCATGTCCCTTGACTCTGCAGGTGTTCAGAGAGGAGCAGTACCTCAGCGATGCCTACCAGTGTGCCGATGTGACCTGGCAGTACGGGTTGTTGAAGAAGGGCTATGGGCTGTGCCACGGTGCCGCAGGGAATGCCTATGCCTTTCTGGTGCTCTACAACCTCACACAGGACAAGAAGTACCTGTACAGGGCCTGTAAGGTAGGAGTCAGACTGCCAGCAGGAAAGCAGCCCCTCAGGGGGTTCAGGAAGGGGCTGTAGCTCATCTGATTCAGTGAATTTATTTTTAAAGACATGAGTTTATAGGTAACAAGCATATTCTTTAAGAAAACCCTTCAAAACCTAAAGGGCCCTAATTCTACTCTGCAATATTTAAAGTTGTTTTTTTTTCTTTTTTTTTTTTTTGGTACCAGGGATTGAACTTGGGTCCTTGTGCTTGTGAAGCAGGCAGTGGAACCACTGAGCTAAATCCCTGGCCCACTGCTCAGCAGTATTTATGGAAGAAGAAACTAAAGATGTAGGGTGATTTTGTTCTCTTCTTCTTGGATAACCTCGGCAGTCCCTGGCTTAAACAATTCATTAAATCCCTCCCACTACATACTCTTCTTTTGGAATGGACCATCCGTTTCTAGGCATTAATCCTTCTCTGATTTGGGAGTATTTTACTTAAAGACGATCTCTGTCGAATTCTAGAGCCTCAGGAAGAAATCGCTATAGTAATTTAACCTGGTTTTATTTTCAGTTTGCTGAATGGTGCTTAGACTATGGAGAACATGGATGCAGGACACCGGATACCCCTTTCTCCCTCTTTGAAGGTATTTTTCACACATTATTTATAATCTCAGCAGCTACTTTTCTGCTTCCTAATTAATGCATTTGAATTTCAGTTGTAGCAACAAATTAATTTTATAGCCATTACTTAACACTGCTTCTTTATTTCCTCATATGACAAGTCATCATTAAAAATCAGCACTTGTCCCACCGTAGTCTGAGTACTCGTAGTCACAGTGGAAACTACCATTTATGGAACTGGGCACACACTGAGCATTTTGCAGATCCCATTGTAAATCATTTCCGCACAACCGTCAAACATCACTGTCCTCGAATCACAGATAAGCAGACTGCCATGGTCAAGGCACTCACTGTGGTAATGACAGGCAGTGACTTGGACATATCTGTCTCCATTGTCTCTCCTGTCTCACCCTGGATAAAAAGGCCGGGTACATCACTAGGGATCTCAAAACTACAAAGTACATAAATACAGACAGATTTCTGTTTCCATTAAGTCACTGTCATTACTACTGTGATGTTGTTGGTCTAAAGAGTGGAGCCGCTCCATGGAATGGAATCATTTGGTATAGTAACTTTTGCCTCTGTCTGTCTTCTCTCTCAGGGATGGCTGGAACAATATACTTCCTGGCAGACCTGCTTGTCCCCACCAAAGCCAGGTTCCCTGCATTTGAACTGTAAGAGGAAAGCGTTATCCCCCACAACTTAACAGCAGGACCCTTTCTGTATCCACACCTGGGCCCAGTGCTTTGGCTGCTTTTCAGGGAAATATAGCATCCAATTGTATACTCAATTTAGTTGATTTCGTTCTTTTCAGAATTTGTCTTAGCTCATTTTTTTTCATTGTTTACTTTTACTGTATTTAAAAGTATGCAAGGAAGTCTTTTAACTTTTGAGTTTCTTCTGACAGGAAAGATGAGTGACAAGTACAATATTTTGAGGTCATTTATGTATATTTCAGAACTTGGAGGAAATCTTACTCTTATTTAAATTGATGAATATAAACATCTATTTCTGTTCTAAAAATATTTAAAAGAAACTTAAGTATAGATAAGCAAACTTAAATATATGAGTATTGTTGAATATTGCCTTCCAGCCTCTTCTGTTTAATATTCTTCCTGTAACAGTTAAGCACTTTTATGGCTTGCTTTTCTCTGTGTGGTTGATCACAAAAAGGGACAAAAATAAAACTATTACTTCCAGGAAAAATGTTTCAAGAGTTGCAAACTTGACTCAGGACCTTAATACCATTTTCAAATTTCTGTTGCCTATTTGGACTTGAGATAAACATACTTTCAAATTTGCCTCTTTATCAGAGAAGTATGCAGGCCCCTGTATGCCAGCATTTTAATCAAAACTAAAAAATGTGATGGTTGTCATGAACATTCTGATTTGAAAGTTAGTTCAAAAAAAATTTATATTAACATTTTATCTAAAATAAATCTAAAAGTCTAAAATAATCTAAAATAATCGGGTTTTTTGAACTATTTACTCAAATTTATATATGTTTCTTTTCTGGTATTCCCATGAGTTCAGGACTCAGGTTTTCTGTGTGAGTGGGCTGTGAACACAGACACTTGTCTGTCCTCTTCTACTGAACTTCTAAACTTGGACTTGTTTAATTACTTTGCAGAGAATATGCTTCAGTGTTGGCTGTTTAGTAAGAGCCATAAAATTTATTCCTTTCTGTCAATTTACCTGAACGGTGGTCTTTTCACTAAATAATACAGCATTCTACCTCTGCTTAAAAGGAGGCAAGAAGGGAAATGCTGTATAGCCAATAACTTGAAAAAGAACATTAAAGTCTTAACAGAAATTGTTTATTAGGAGATATTACCCAGAGTTCATGCTTGTAACAAATGAATCTTTGCATATCCTAGGCTTAACAGTTCATCTGTCTAAGACTACAGAACCAGGTTTTATTTTATATGGTAGATGAAGACTCCCTGGTGCTTCAAATTCTATACAGATGTTTTGTTCATCAGCTCTTCCCCCTCCTCCTCCTTTTGCTGCCTTTCCCAGGCCAAGCGAGACACTTTTTGCCCGACTTTAGAACATTATGCAGGTTTTAAACAACAGGGTCTGAGAACTCTAAATTTGCCTATTTTATCACTCTCTTGGTCACAAAAATGTGCTTTTTATTGGAACTTTAAACCAAATCCCCACAGAGTGTATGCTTGTTCCTATGGATAGAAATCCTCTGTTATTTTTTTCAATTTAGCACCAAAATAGGTAATATTACCGAAAATTGTCTGACTCTTTAAAGTCTACTGACAGTTGGATCTACCCAGCAGCCCACTGTTCAATTTCTAGGTTTAGATCACTCCCTTTGTGACTTAAGGAAGTCAGGGGACTTGTGCCTCTTAGATTACTGAAGTGCTCCTGGTGAGCTGTATGCAAGCTGTGCTTTTCTTGCAAAAGTTTCAGATCAGCAGTGAGGGCATTTACAGGAATAAGTGAAAGGAACACACAGCAGAGCTCATTTGCCTTTGGCTGGGTGTCCAACTTAAAAGAATAAAGCCCATTGGGTTTAGTTAAATGTCTTATTACGTTGTGCCTGTACTTTTAGCTACCATAGTTACTAACCAAGGGAAAAAGAGCAACACGCACTTTGTGTGAGCCAGGGGAGACTTAATCACAGTTGCTTCTCCGAGCATATTGCTTAATTTAATCCCAGGAAGACTTCAAAGCAGGGAGAAGAACATTCTATATGTGATTCTTGTTAATATTTGGATTGCAGTTTAGTTATTGTCGTCTGTTAAAAAATTCACCGACATAAACATGATTAAAGTATTTTTTCTGTAGTTTTTTTAGACTGTTACTAAATTGACCATATATTTGTGCCACTGTTTGTTTTATTTATCGTTAAAAGCTAAGATAATATTGATAGGATTTTTTTTTTTTTTTTTGGTACTGGGGATCAAACTCGGTACCTTGAGCTTGCGAGGCAGGCAGCGGCACCACTGAGCTAAATCCCCAGCCCAATATTAATAGGATTTTAAATACAGGCAGAGTACAAAGCCAAGACCAATATCTTAAAACCATGGTAGTGACTAAAAGAAACTTTTCCACTGACTTTCTTACCTTCAAAAGGAAGCAGCAGCATCATTTTAGTTCTATTTGTACTATGTTTTTCCCTCAGATACTTTTCTTCTCAATTAAAAACCTTCCCAAAAGTTATTTCCTAGAAAATTCAATAGCATCTCATACCTCCATGCAAAGACTAGGTAGTAAAACCTTTAAAGGTTGTCAAGCAGTGTTCATTTATCCTGTGATAGGTTTCTGTTTGTATGGTGATGAGAAATTGCAGTGGTTAACTTTTCTTCATGTGAAAGTGTTAACATAATCATGACCATTCCCATAGCCCCCATCTGGCATTAGTTACATGTGAATTTAATCCTTAGAGTCATCTGGCTCCCTTTTCATCTTTTGTGTCAGTTTCGATTACTTATAATCAAAAGTCTCCATGGTAGATAAGAGTTTTAGGTAAAGGGGCTATTTCTCCTTACTACCACTTCCCTAAATAACTGAATTGAGAGATGCACTCTATTCTGTATCTTCAGGTTAATTTGTGTCCAGTCTTTCAATGCCCTACCTTCTACAGAGAATGTGAACAATGAACATTTATTTACACACTCTGTTGGCTACTAGGATTCATAGTAATCAACCTGATTACTCAAACTGAATTTTGATTCCATTTCTGCTTCCCCAGAAAGGATAAGAGCACATTTCTGTGTGTTCTGTACTGTTGAGCTTTAGAACTGTTTGTCTCCTATAAACATAAAGCAATGTTTGCGTTGTTCAGGGAACCCACTGCAGTGTTGTAGTATTGTTGGGAAGGGCTGGGATTATATGTATTTATATGTTGTGTAAAGGATTTGACTTACTGGTTCTCAATAAAAAATTATTAGAACTATATATTGTCGTCTTTTTGTTTGCTTCAATTTAAACTTGAATATTTTTCCTCAGTGGTACACGCATTCCCTAGAGCTGGTTTCTACTTTTTTCTTCATTGCTGGTTCAAAGAAGACTTCCACTGCTTTCTAAAACAATAGAAATTGCTGAAAGGAAAATATTTTAAAATCTGATCATTGTAGAATTAGGAGGGATCTACAAAGCTTCAAGCAGCACAGTGCATTACCATTTCACACATATGTAAGTCCACCATATAGTCAGTACCTAAAGGCCTAATTCCAGAAATTCATTGCCCTGCTCACCAGTTCTGAAAGGACTGAATAGAAGAGGGGATTGAGTAAGGCATAGTTGTAAAACATGCAGTTTATGCAGAAGCTGGAGAAATTCTATTCATTCATCTGGGATGACTCTATTACTACTTTCATGACACAGCTAGTTAGTGTCACTCACTGCAGCACAGATTTCCCAAATTATAAAGTACTTCTTTTCATCTCTAAATTCTATTTTGTCCTCTTGTAGGTATGATTAAAATGCCCTTCTTTCCTCTACTGCATTGATCGAATGTCTCATAACACTGAGGCTAAATGCAGTTTTCTTTATTTCCTCTGAATGAAGTAATGGCACAGTAAGGCGTGTTGTATAGCAGGTCCTAACATGCAGGCAGTGAGGTTTGGAGAGGACGGTGGCTTGCAGAGGTCACAGGGACACCACAGTGCTGCTTACAGCACTCCCAATGACACCCCAAACTAAATTGCAACTGGTGAGGCCAGCAGGCACTGTTCTCTGCTATACTTCTCCCTACCAGAAGAAAAATGACAAACACATTGAATTGTACCACAATTAACAATCATCAACAAACAAAACTTAAGAAATTTCTCTTGCAACTTTCCCATAATAATTTATTCCTAATTTTGCATTAGAAAAGACCTTTGTCTCCCTCCTCATACTCTCTAAGAGTACAGTAATTTTCATGTCATTTCTTTTTACCAAAATAGTTCTCGCTATGGATTCAGTGTCACTAAGTCTCATGTTATTCTTTATTCTTATAAGCATCACTTAAGCTGAGATAAAACCTACAAGTCAGTTCACTAAAAATTTCTTTCCTCACTGTTTTGCTTCTAAAGCTCTCTCCCTTCTGAAGCTGTGGGTGAGTTAACAGAGAGAGCAGTGGCTTTTGTACAATGCAGAACATACTGGCTTCCTAGTTCCCATTATGTGAACTGTCCAAACACCATTTTCCAGCAGCCCTTTGATAGTGCATCCTTGGGGACTTACTTTGCAATTTTGTGAGTAATGAGAGAAAGCAACAAACACAATAAGCCAAAAGGTGAAATAATGAGGATAGAGAAACTGGTCTTAGCAGAGCTGCTGCTCATAATCAACCAGTTTAATTTCACATTTCTACATTATGTTAACTTTTCATCCACATGCAAATTACAACCATGGTGACATTAAATCTGCAGCTAATGTTCTATCGCTCTATAAAGAAGAGAAAGCACTTGTGAAGCACTTAGTCATTATGTGGGTAAGGGCAGGGCTCTTGACAAATCAGTCTATAAGGTAATGTCACAGTTGCCTAATCTCTCAGATGGAGTTGGATATTAGCAAGCATTTGTAACCTGGATATGGCTCACTGAAAATTGATGGCTAATATGATTGTTTTCTCAGGACTTGGCGTTCAGAAATTCACACATACACTGTTGCTGATAGAATCTGAGCTACTGGCCCTGTCAGATTATGTGCTGCAGACATGCCACTGTTTTAGTTCTGCCAGGAGAATGATTTAAAATCATTTATTCCTCCCAATTCATGAAATCTGTTCGGGTGCAAGGTTCCTGCCTAAGAGTTTTGTGTGCATAAAATAGACATCCCAAGTGGCAATTTATAGTCCAATGAAGAAGACAGGTCACTAGAGAAGCAACTGCAAGAAAATACAACCTGATAGTCTTGCTAATTCCTCCAACTACTCTTTCCCTGGTTTCATAAATTTAAGTCTGGGTCTCTACAGACCCCTGTAGTTTCTGGCCATATTTGGAAATAGTGAAGGTACTCCTTCAGGGAGAACACAGTAAAAAGACATTCATCCAGGCCACAAATTCTCAGGTATTACATCTGGATTACCTTGGTGATAGGCAAGGAACGGGGAAATAGGAAGACAAAAAGTCACTTGCCTCCCAAATTACTTCCAATCATTTGGTCAACTTTGGAAACTCCCAGCTTTAGCATTTGTATTAATCAGCTTTCCCTTCTCTGAGACAATATGAAACACTCACAACTTAAAGGAGGAAAGATCTTATTTAGCTCATGGTTTATGGGATTCAGTCTGTGGTCAGCTAGCTCCAAGCAGGAGCATTATGGTAGAAGGGCATGGTGGAATAAAACTGCTTAATTCATGGTGGCTCAGGGAGTAGAGCCAGAGAACAGCATCAGAGAGGAACAGGTGAAAAAGTATATTTAGTACCCAAGGCCATGCCTCTATGATGTACCCAGATGTATCCAAGAGTGTGTACTACTTATCTGCTAGGCACTTACTCCTGTGAAGTTGACATATCAGAATTAATGATCTCTGCATCATTAACAATTTAGGTTAGATCTATTGCCTTCAGGATGCACACGTCTTAGAAGAAAGAGTTCATTGATCCTGCTATATCATTAGCACCTTAGTAATTGGTTCATGACCTTGGTACCAACTAAATGAACATCAAACAAGATTAATTGTGTTACTAACATATGCTAAAGATCTTTCTAAGATGAGGAAGATATATCTGCTTACAAAAGACTTTTGAAGTGGAGATAAATATAAAGATGTAACATCAGTGTGATATAGAGCCACATCAGGACTGACTTTTGGTTAGTAATAGCAGCAAAATGATAGAAATGTATACTAGTCAAAGAAATATGTTACAAAATACTTTGAAATTAGGGCTTTGCTCAACCATCATGTGCATACAAATCTAGAAATCTTATTAAAGTGATTCTGTTGCTTTGTTTCATTCATATCAGCACTGGAAGAGAGGACCCCAGCTTGTGTCTTCTCCCTCAGCTAGAAAGAAGGAAGCTAAAGTCTAAAATTCAAGCTTTTTGGAAGAATGCACAAGGAGGTGGTTTCTGTCATGCTCCACTGAGAGCACAGATGGAACTAGCATAGTTTGGAAGCCTGACAGCCACTGAGAGCAAAGACGAGTCCATGGAGGCTTGCTGCAGCCAGCAAGGTCTAATGTGAGGGAAAGAAGGCAACAAGTCGAAGATTCGCCCTTGGGAGGAAGGAAAATACTGGAGCATCCATCCAGCATTCTCACCCAAGGACATGGGTTCTGCCTGTCTTCATTCAGAGTGCTAACTGAGCCAGCATGATTGGCATTCCTGGAGGTCTCTGAAAACTAAAAAGAGAGAGGAGTCAGCTTGATGTATCTGATGCGACTCAGCACTATCCAGAGAAGGTGCTCAACTTGAGGCTTCTCTTGCAGGAGGGAGACAGAAGAGTGGACAGCGTGCCTGGAATCCCGAATTTTGGGAGGTCTGCCTGAGGGCCTGGTATCTATCTCTTCTGACACGAAGTGATGACAGAGCAAGCAAGCATAATTTGGATGCCTGATGTCCTCTGAGAAAAAAAATGAGAATGGGGTCCAGTTGGATCCATTGCTATTTGAAAACCAGAGACCTTGTAATGTTGCAGACAAACACTCGGGGAAGCAAGAGATTACAAAAACTTACCTGAGAAGAAACTGGCAAACCTCTTTAGTTGAGAAATTGAAGCCCTGGCAAGGTTTCAGAAGGCCCCAAAATATCTAACTGGGCTTATCAGAGAGGTTCTTCCCCTGTATATAGCCAGTGTGTAAATACTGGGAGAAAAGTGGCTGCCTTTTCTTTTTAAATTGAGACATAATATTAGTACATGTTTATAAGGTGCATTATGCTAATCCATGTCTACAATGTGTAATAATGAAATCATGGTAATGAGCATTTCCATCTCTTCAAACATTAGACATTTTTATATGTGGGGAATTTCATACTTTCTATATTTTGAAATATATCATCAACTATTTTAATCAATTTACCTACCTGTGCTATTGAAGACCTAGAAGTACCTCCTCCACACTATGATCTAGTACTCTTTACTGAAGTTCTTTCCATCTTCCTCTCCCCTTCTCCATCTTGAGGGACCCAGACAAATCCCAATACAAAGCTATGAATGACATGAAGAAACAGAGAAATATGGTCCAAGCTAAAGAACGAAGTAAATCTTCAGTCGAAGTAAATCTTCAGATCAGTCCTAAAGATATGAATTACCTGGCAAATAATTTTAAAAATTTACCATAAAAATACTGTATGAGCTCAGTAAAAGAATACATGAAAGAATGAGAATAACAGCAAGTAGAAAAATAGTAAAAGGAATTGAATTTTGGAGCTAAAGAAAATACTGAAGCCTGGGATGTAGGTCAGTGACACAGTGCCTGCCTGGCAAGTATGAGGTCCTGAGTTTGATTCCCCAGTACCAAAAAAAGAAAAAGAAAATACTGAAAAAATTATTAGAGGTGTTCAATATACAGGATTAAGGAACAGAATCAGTGAATTCAAAGATAAATAATTTAAAATTAATCAATGGGACAATAACATTGAAAACAATGAAAGAGTGAAGAAAACTCATGGGACATCATCAGGTGAAACAATATATACATTATGGGAGTTTCAACAAGAAAAGACAGATAAAAGAGAACAGAAAGCTTATTTAAACAAATAACAGATACAAGTCCCCTTCACTTGACTCTGTGAATGAGAGTAGTTGAAGAAACAAAGGAAAAACTGTATTCTGGGAAGAGAAAGAGAAGTAGCTCTGGAAATCAAGAAAGTGGTTATGGGAAATTAAAAGGCCTGGAGAAGAAACAGAAAGGCAACAGAGAAAAGTACAAAGCTGCTCACAATGTAGACTCTGGCTCTTTGGTAGGAAGAGAACCCAATGGCATAAGCACAAGGTAAGCCCAGAAATGGCAGGCAATTCAATG